GCATCTGCTGGAGGTGCATATACAACTTCTATGCCCGGGACTGTTCCTTCGCGGTGTCCCCGCGGCGCCTCGGCACAGCCGCCTGCGCGGCATGGGCCTTTCTTCCAGTATCTTGAACCGCTGAAGCCTAGATCTATTGATTGGTTGAAATACAAGCACGGGGATAATCGCCCCGCTTCTGCGCAATGGTGGCCATGTATTTGGGCGCCCGATCTGGATCTACATGCTCGCCCTATGACGTGTTCTGCGTTTGCTGCGTTCAATTGGGGCCACGCGAGTGCAGGCCAAATCCAACCAGTGGTGGGCTGGGCCCGGTGGGACAAAGATATGAGGGAGATGGGATTCGCCATGCCGACGCTGCAAGTGTTGATGGAGAACTTCGAAGCAGCGAACCGAGCATCTGCTTTGACCAAGCTCTGAGACATTGATGGTCAAATCGTTGCTGAACTTCGTCGCCGGCCAAGCCGTAATGACGACGTCATTTTGCATCGCGAGCAGAATGCTCAAATTTCGATGTGTGTATCCAGCGAACATCTCGTACAGCGACATCAAATGATTCTTCCACATAGAGAATTGCCTTTCTGGCTTGGTATGGTTTCTATTTCTGGCTGCATCTGCGGTTATAATTATGACAATGCAACATACGTAGGCCCGAGGTTATCAAGGTAGCAACGCAGCTTATTCTTGAGTCCCAGTCGGTTGAACCAAATGCAAAACCATTGGACACGGTCGCGATTCATGCCGCGCCGCCTGGATTGCATCATTTTGTAGATAGGATTTGGGACCAACCGTTCCACCGTATCCCTATTCACGGAAGATGGGGAATAATTTTGTTAGCTGTGCGCGGGGTGATAGTCGTGTTCGTCTTTGCGGAGATTTCTATTGCATTCCCCGGGCACGAGGTGCAGCGTTTTCCGAGATCCGACCAACTCTTGCGGGATTCTTATGCTTTGGATTGTCGGATCCGAGCAGGAATCGAAACATTCGATCTGCTTAATGATTGGCTTGATGGGTTTGGAAATGCGGTACCAGAGACCGTGCGATAAACCTGCCCAGAAATTCGTGGGACAATTGTTTCATAGATGCAATGAAAGAGCTCCAATAAAGTGCCAGTATTTGTCTCGCGAACAGCCTCTTTGGAGTCATCAATACTGTCAACGCCGTTGGAAATATGTATCTTCGCGCGAAGAAAAAGGAGGGGGGCGGCGCAGACGACTCCCCCGCCGAGACAGTCCAGGCTGAGTCGCCAGCCGCTGCTGCAGTCCAAGTTGAGGAGCGCATTGTTCCACGGCGAGCTCGACCGCAATCGCGCCTGCCTTCGCGGCCGCGATTCTCACGCGGAGGGCAATCTCATCGCGCCGCCCCATATTCGCCTGCGTCTGCCGGCGCAGCCGCGTCAGGCCACGAGACTGGATGGGTCGGCCCCGCCAGAGTTCGATCGTGGTCAGACGAGCCCAGGACTGAGGATTTCGCACCCCAGAGACCGGCTGCCCCGCCGGGTGGCGGCCCTGCGCGCGATGGCGATGGCGCTGGGCCGGTCGCGGGCGGCGTCTACGACGCGAGCGTGGACTACGAAGACGAGCGAGACTGGAGAGATTCAAGGATATTATGTACATGTTTCTAGACATCAGCCTGTTACTGGCCGCGGCAAAATGCGGCAATGGTTTAGTCTTGATGAGTGCAATGAGAAATTCCGCCGCTCTTCTGGAACGTCGAGAGAGTTGCGAGTGCCCGCGCCCCCGCCTGCGCCGGAGGCGAGTTCGTCGGCGAAGGGCCAGGCCAAGAGTGAACAAACTGAATGGGGCCCACCATGTGACTGGAGCTCAAGAAGGGAATGGCATTGGGAGGGCTATAGGGAGCCCAGAAGCCGTTGGAGAAGATGAACATGAAGATGGGCTGCGTTCTGCACGACGCAGTCGTTGCTGGACCGTGCTACTTCGTGGAACGGGTGCACCAGGTGTGCGTGGGCATTGAGACCTGAGCTGCGCGTATTAGCTCAGGCGGGAAACGTCGGTCTTCTCTGGCCTTCTGCCCCCTGGCGCCCACCGTCGAGCGGTAAAACTTATCTTTTTCGGTTCGCTCCGGTGGTTGTACATATGTACAGGCCAGGTTGGTGGGGGGTCGGGGCGGCTCTACGTATCCCTCCGCGGGGGGAGTCAATGCGCCCCTCCGCGCCACCAGGTTCCTGCCCGTTTCACCGTCCTGCTTGCTTCTCACTGGCTGTTTGTTTCCTTGCTTTGGACGTTCTCTGCTCCTGCAGCGTAACACTTTGTGTCTCAGAGATAGTGGAAAAGGAGCGCGCGCGCGGCCGCGCTCGTCGGCCGGCGGGCCGGCCTCTTCCCTTCAGTGTTATCTCTGTTGCATGCTTAATGGCATTATCCTGTCTTGCCCATGTCTTCCGCGAAGCCCATTGACTATGCGAAATCATCGGGACGTATTGCAGGGATTATGAATATCCAGGCAAATGGAACCATCTTGGGCCATTTTGGGCGTTCTGGCGGTCCGCGACCCCAAAACAAAACAATGACAACAGGGAAGGAGGGGAACAAAGGGTATTTCCCGAAGGGGCGAGGGGTTTTGGAAGTGGAGCACGAAGGGGCGAGGGGTTTTGGAAGTGGAGCACGGTATGTCCTTAGGCCACCTACGCAATATTGAGGATTGTGGAATCCTGAGGATTTGAGGACATCCCACTTCGTGCCTCAAAGCTCACTGGCGGATGCCGGCGCGTGGGCTCCAATTACGGGCGTTGGGGAACACGCAGGGCGATTGCTCTCAGGAGTTAGTCGGTACTGGCCTGGCACGCCAAAGCGAGGGGTTAGTCGTGGTTCATAGCGCGGTACACCTCTGTGGTGACCGCATTGCGCGCCGACGCCTGACCGGAGTTCATCAAAGGGGCCCGACCGAATCTGGTATGCAATCGTTTTTCAAGCCCGACATGTTTGATGTTTGTCAGACATTGTGCCTGTGCCTCGTCTCTTGGATTCGCTTTGGGTTGGGGCCCATGCGGAGACAACTTCCGTCACTCTCCAATCGCAGGCATTCGCCAGATCGTGTCAGATTGGTAATAGAGTTGTCACGACTTCGCCTCTAGTTTGCGATGGTAATGACAGGCGATGCTCAACATCAACGCCGATCACATTACGCGCGGTTGCGTAGTAAATTCGTTTCGTCCGCATGCTTCCGTCCAGCGTGCCATTTGTTCCGAGTGACGTTCTATTGAAAGTGTGTTGGAAGGAGGTGGATCCGTCCAGGGTCCACAGTTGGGCGCCACTCTTTGGGGTCATAGTTTGGGGCTGAGCTCGAGGGCCGCACCTGGTTGCCATATTTGGGGCGTGAAATTTTTGAGGACCACGCGTGGGGAATCCAGAGGCCGCTTGCCCAACATACGTCCGTGCATCCCCCCACGGCCCAAACCCCGCCCCAACATCAACATCGGCAAACCCACGGGTTTAGTGTCTTTGCTCATGTGGCTGTTTGCTTGCGAGGGCGTCTTCTGGGTCATGTCGAGTCGCCCGTCTGGTGCATCTTCCATCGTTCAAGACAAACAGATGGTATGCATGCGGTGCAGCCATTCATGATGAGATCACACGGCCCTTCCTACACGGCGTCAGCCCATCCACGTCGGCATCAGGCATGTTTGTTGCAGTAAGCGCAGTGTTGTATGTGAGCCAATTCGTCGTTTCTTGAACTTGTCTGGAGATGTTGCACAACACCAGCAATACTGCGATGTCAAAGCGATGCGACCGGTTCAGACCAGGCGCTATTTTGCCAAGGGCGAAATGAGTGACTCATTTACTCCCACTGATGTTACCAAGCCTCCTGCTATGGGTTCTCGCTTTCACTCGAGAGAAGCTGCCTTCTCTCCTTCCTCGCGCCTGTCTTCTTCTTCTGCCTCTCACGTCCTACCGGCCTGCTACCTCCCACCTGCTTTATGTTCTGTCTTCTATCCTTCTCCTTCCTTCTCCCTGCTCTTGCCACCTACCCCCTACCTTCTTCCTAGCCTGCCTCCTACTTCGCCCTTCTGGTCGCTGGCAACTGCTTAGCCGTCGCCAGTTTCGTAACATCCTTGGAGGTCCATTGGAGTGGGACCCTACGCGGATCTAAGCAAGGTTTCGCCCTCCCTGAGTGCTGCCAATTGCGCAGCTGGCGCCAGTTTCGTGAATCCTTAGGGGTCCCGCGGAGTGGTGTCTCACCCAGATGTAACATGGACGTCGTCAACCATGGGGGTTGGTAACTGGCAAATGCTGCACTTCCTTGAGCGACTGGAATGTCCAGTTGTGCGGGGTCCTACGCAGATCAGTCGCCCTTCCTGGGAGCCGACAGTTGCGCAACGGTCGCCGCTTTCGTGGACCCCAGGGATGTTCAGCGGAGTGCTTTCTTGTGCGGGCCAGCAATCGATCTCGCCCTCCCTGGGTGCTGCCATCTCTGGAGCCGTCGCCACTCTCGTGGGCCTCTGGGATGGCCAGCGGAGTGGTACCCTACGCACGTCGAAATGCGGCCTCGCCTCCCCTGGGTGCTGCCAACTGCGGGACCGTCGCCGCTTTCATGGGCCTTTGGGAGGTCCAGCGGAGTGGTGACCTACGCAGATCAGAATCAGACCTCGCCCTCTCTTGGTGTTGGCAACTAGCTGCGCGAACGCCGCCACCCTCGCGGGCCCTTGGGAGGTCCAGCCGAGTGGTGTCCTCTGTTGACCAGAGTCAGACATCTCCGTCCCTGAGTGCAGCCAACCGTGCAATTGACCCTGCTTTCCTGCTGCGGCGCAGGGAGGTCTGTCCAACTGTGGCTCACTAGGGGTCCAGACCGTCTCAAAGTAGGTTACAGCAGTTCAGACAGCGTTTCTGCTTATGCGGTGTTCTATAGCGGGCTGCTGGTAGCGTTGATCGGAGCGCTTTGGCTTCAGGCATCGCCTCGCACGTCTCCCCCGCGCCCAGTTTGTCCCACATCCTCTCCTGCTTTGCGTTGCGGCACGTCAACTTGTGTCGTGCTATCGCCGCAGTCCAATGCTCGAGCAATGCTCCAGCAAATTCGCAGAGCGCGCTTTCTTGCTGCCACCGCCTACTCCACAGGGTACGGGTAGGGTGGGGTGGGGGGGGGGGGCGGGGTGGGGGGTTGGAGGGAGAAGGGGCAGAAGACACAGGGTGACGATTGACCGAGAGCAAGAACGTGGAGCAGGTCAGCGTCGGAGGGGGCGCCCGCGCTCAATGCATTCGCGCGCACGCTTAAGCAGGTCTACGAACAGTGCTCTTACGTTGGTTCAGTGAGGTCGAAGATCTTTAGATTGGAGACGCGCTCATACCCTTCAGTATGGCAGTTTTCGAGCCCCCGCACGCTGTCCTAGGATGTGTTACGCGCGGCCGCGGAGCAGTTTTTCCCCAACCATCCTGTTGTGTTGGGTCTTCGTTTTGAAGAGACAGCGACTCGCATTCCTCCTCCTCCTTTGCCTCCTCCTCCTCCTCCTCCTCGCCTCCCCCTCCTCCCTTCTCTTATCCTTGCCTCTGTCCTCCGCGTGTCAACCATGTCGGCACGCACGCCCCTCACCAGTTTCGTGGCCCCATAGGAAGCTCCACCGATGGCCCCAGTGGCAGGGTTCGCATGGCGGCCTCGGGCCATCTCGGCACACCCCTCACAAGGATTCTGGCCCCACAGGGAGCCCCACCGAAGGCCTCAGTGGCAGGGTTCACATGGCGGCATCGGGCGATTGTGGCACACCCCTCACGAGGTTCGTGGCCCCGTATGGAGCTCCACCAATGGCCCCAGTTGCAGGGTTCGCATGGTGGCCTCGTGTTATCTCGGCACACCCCTCACGGGAATCGTGGCCCCACAGGGAACTCCACCGAAAGCCCCAGGGGCAGGGTTCGCATGGCGGCATCGGATCTCAGCACACCCCTCACGAGGATGGTGGCCCTATATGGGGCTCTGGACGAAGGCTCCAGTGGCAGCGCCCGCGTAGCGGCGGGCGATTTCGGCGCACCTCTCACGATGACTGTGGCCCCATAGGGGGCTCCAACGAGGGCCCAAGTGGCAGGGTTCGCACGGCGGCCTCGGTTGATTCCAGCACACCCCACACGATCCCAGTGGCAGGGTTCGCATGGCGGCCTCGGGCGATTTCGGCGCACTCCTGAGTTCTTCCGAAGGCCCCAGTGGCAGGGTTCGCATGGTGGACTTGGGCCATTTCGGTGCACCCCTCACGAGGATCGTGCCCCCACAGGGAGCTTCACCGAAGGCCCCAGTGGCAGGGTTCGCATGGGGACCTCGGGCGATTTCAGCAATTTCCCCTCACGAGGTTCGTGGCACCAAAAGGGAGCTCTGGACGAAGGCTCCAGTGACAGCGCCCGCATGTGTTCCCCGAAAATTTCGGCACACCCCACGCACGTGTCGGGGCTCCCATCCGCGTTGCTTCGTGCTCCATCCCTCTCGCGGCGTTCTACTTGTGATGAGAGGGACATATTCTGCGATACTCGCTGCCGCATATGGTTGGGTCCTTCGCCAGTCTAATGTGTTCCGACGTTTGTCTTCGCAGGCGAAGCCGCGGCCGTCTGCGCTCCCAGTTGCACCCCGTCGACCGCCTCATCTGAGTGGGGGGTATAGGTGTGCTATGCGTGCGAATCATTTCAAGCATGAGTTGTTGTCTTCCCTGGCTACTAAGTCGCTATCAGGCGCTAGCCGGCATTGATCGGCGCCAATAGGCGCTAATTGGTGCGACTCGGCGCTGACACGGGCATTGATCGACACAACTAGGCGCTAATAGGGCGGAACCTGTTGAAGCAATAATCCTCACTCGTAATGCAACTGAGGGTGGCGGCTGAGTAAGTGGCGCCAGCCATTGGAAGGTCGAGGAGAGTGTTTTTTTTCGTTCGCCGGACTTGAGGCACCTCTCCGAGACTCTCGAGGCGAAATCTGGTCGTGACATGCATCATCCACCAGCTCTAGCCCCACCAGGACTTCTGATTGTTGCTGCTTCCCCAAGGCCTCAGAGGAGGAAAAGGTACCGGTAGTGCTACCCTTCGCCCGTCTTCCCCTTTTGTCGGCCTCCTGGGAGGCCCGTATCTCCACGGCTGGGTTCGTCTCGACATCTGGGTCAGGTCGCGCCCAGGGGCAGGTCTGGGGAGGCGCGTTACCGGTATTGTTTTGTTCCCTGCCTAGGCTCTGCCTAGAAGGGTTCTTACTCGCTTGGCTTAAAGGGGCCGGGCAGTGCAAATGGCGGTTCCCCCAGTCCCCTGGGAGCCAAGCAAAAGCAACATCGAAAGCAAAAGCAAAGGCAAAGGCAACAGCAAAGTCAAGAGCAAAAGCAAAGGCAATGCAAAGCAAAAGCAACACCAGTGCGAAAGTGTAGATGTAGATGTAGATGTAGGTGTAGGTGTAGATGTGGATGTAGGTGTAGATGTAGATGTAGATGTAGATGTAGGTGTAGATGTAGGTGTAGATGTAGGTGTAGATGTAGATGTAGATGTAGATGTGAGTCTCGCTGTTGATGTAGATGTAGATGTAGATGCAGGTGTAGATGTAGATGTAGCTGCAGGTGTAGATGTAGATGTAGGTCTAGATGTAGATGTAGGTGTCGATGCAGATGTAGGTGTAGATATAGATGTAGATGTAAAGAACTCCCTAGTGCCCCGCCCTCATCTCCGTGCCTGCTTGCTTTTGCTGCTGTCTCGGCGACTTGCTGCCTGCTTCTGCTGCTGCTTCACTTACGGCGTGGCGTCGGCGGTTCTGGCGCTACTATTATTACTGCTACTATTATTATTACTACTACTACTACTACTACTATTACTACTGCTACTGCTACTGCTACTACTACTACTACTACTACTACTACTATTACTACTACTACTACTACTACTACTACTACTACTACTACTACTACTACTACTACTACTACTACTACTACTACGACTACTACGACTACGACTACGACTACGACTACGACTACGACTACTACGACTACGACTACGACTACGACTACGACTACTACTACGACTACTACTACTACTACTACTACTACTACTACTACTACTACTACTACTACTACTACTACTACTACTACTACTACTACTACTACTACTACTACTACTACTACTACTACTACTACTACTACTACTACTACTACTACTACTACTACTACTACTACTACTACGACTACTACTACGACTACGACTACGACTACGACTACGTTTACCGCTGCTACTAATGTTGCTTTCCTAGAGGCTCCAACTCCTAGGTAGGGTCGCACTGGGATATTTTTTTCCAAGGCCAGGCGTGACGGTCAAGGTGAGCGAGGGGCAAGGCGAGATAGGGATGAAGGGAGAGCTTGAGCGGAGAATGCGCCTACATACATATGCGCGCGGGGGTAAATGCTCGATGGCGGCGGCCTTCAGAGGGGCGAGCGTAGGGAACGCACGGATTTCTGGTCCCTCGGGGCATCGGATCGGGCCGAAAATGCCAATCCTTCCGTCCGAAGACTACGGAAAGCCGCCGACATTTCGGCCAGCGCCACATGGAGCGTGCTTCAGCGAATGGCAGCCTCGTGGTTCCCAGTCTCTTTGCTCCATTCCCTCGTTGCACCCCTGCACCCCCTCCACGCCACAGAGAGGACGATGGGAAGGGAAGGGCGATGAACGATGATCTTCAGAAGCATCCCGCAGAGGGTGCTGCAAGGGCACTGCTCGTTTGCGTAACCCGCGCGTGACGACCAGTGCCCCCCCCGACTAATGGGGAGCTTTTGCTCCATTGAGGACTTCCACATCCTGTAGTCTTGTGTCGCACGCGGGCGGGGCTTGTTGCCCGTGGGTGGTCCTAGTCGCCGCGGCCAGGGTTGGACTGGAACACCTATTACGAATGTGCTTAGGGGAAAACTCATCAATCCTCCTCCTCCTCCTCCTCCTCCTAGCCCTCCCTCCCCTCCTCCTCTTCCGCCCCCTGCCCGTCCTCCAGGTTAGACCATTCAGAGGTATGTGTGCGTGTGCGTGCAGACACGTAGCAAGTGGGGTGAGGGGTACCATAGGGGAAAGCGGGGGATGGGGAGGACGAGAAGGACATTGAACAGGAGGGGTGGAAAGATCAGGAGACGGCGGTGGAAGGGACTCCACTGACACAGTCGCTCGCACTCGCCGGGATATTCGCTGACGCGTACGTCCAGGACCGGCAGCAGGCGGATTCTTCCGCGGGGGAAGCCTACATGCATCGGTCCGCCTCCCCCCCCTGCGACAAGATGGCGGGCTTCGGGCTTACCACCAACTGGTACCACGCGATCCACGGGCGCATCCGCATCGACGGCGCCTAGCAGACGCGCCCCATCCTCCTGCACATGCTCTGGCGTTCCCGTGCGCCGTGCGTCCCTGGCGGCCGCCTGGGCGCCAGGTCAACCTGGTGCGGGTACCGCTGCACAGGCAGCGCGCGGAGCTCCAGAAGCGGACCAGCTGGGAGCACGAACGCGCGGATACGATCGTCGTCTCTGCCGCGACCGAGGTGATCGATTGGACTAAACTTACAGGGTGTGGGACACCGTGGGCCGCGACATCGGCGTCAAGAACGTGTCGGCCCACACCGCCCGACCGTGGACTCAATCAGGCGCTGAATTCGACGGAACGGTCGTCCACGTCCGGGCGGACAGGGCGCCCCGACTCGGCACTGGCGCGGTGGACGCAGCGGTCTCGGTCCTGACGACGCAGCTTGGCGGCCAGGGGCAGCGGGCAAGCACATTCCACGCCGCGCCTGCGCGGACCCCCTTCCGAATCTGCGGGGCGCAGGCGCCCCGGCGGTTTCCCCCCCCTCTCCAGTCTTAGCCTTCCGCGCTGTCATGCGTCTAGTCGAACCCACCGGGTAGCAGCGAGGACGGCCGACGAGCCCGATTGTCTCATGGATGGCGATATCCCTGCGCCGTTGAACAAGACAGCGAAAGCCTTCCTGGCACTTCGCACTAATGGCCGCGTCGATGACATGGCAGTCTCCAAATCAAAGGCCACCGGAGTGGAGGTGGCATCTGGAGAAAAGACCCTCGTAAGTGCGTTTCTGAAAATAATCGGCGCCCATGTTGGGCCCGGTGCGCTAGCAGTTCCAATGGGCGCGTG